TTATTAATCTTAAAAATGCTAATTCGAATCTAAACTGAATTGCAGACCGATAAAAATTTGAACTGAACTGGAATTTTTAGATTAATCTGAAATTACAATTTAATTATACAAAGAATCTGCAATTTATATTCAAAACTCTAAGAGAATCACAAAAAATCGCAAATTTCTTTTCAGAGTTCGCGAAAATTTGCAAAATTCTATGAGTAATCGTAAAAATTTACGATTCTCTAAGATTTTCGCATTTTTTTGCGAAATTTGAAAATAAATTGCAATTTTTTATGACTCTCCAAGAGTTTTGCAATATTTTTGCGAAATTCTAAGAGAAATCGCAAAAAATTGCGATTCTCCAAGGTTTTTGCAATTTTTTTGTAAAATTTGAAGAAAAACCGCAAAAAATTGTGATTCTTTAAGAGTTTCGCTAAATTTTTGCGATCCTCTAAGAGTTTCATATATAATCGAACTGAACTTTCAGATTATCAGTTCAGTTCAGATTTTTTTCGATTCAGATTAGAATTATAATCCAAAAAAAATCTGAACTGAACTGAAAATTTTCAAATCGATTTTTATGCAATCTGAAACTGATCTGAACTGAACTGATCTGAAAAATCTTCAGATTAATCTGAACTGTTCAGAGCTTTATCTAAAATGGAAGGCAAAGAAATTAAATTCAAGACAAATTATTTAAATTTATAAAACAATCCTCTAAGAAATATAGCTACTATTCAAGATGTCATATATATTATTTTCTCAGCACTCACGCAGTTACCTGATTATGATAGTTAAGAGCCTTCAGATATGTACTACTAAAAGTTTAAAAATATAAATGGAATGGTACGTCCATTAACTGTCGTCTAATTTAATGCGCAAGTAAGAAGCAATATATGAGAAATAAGATAACTGGAAGGTTTGCATCTGTTCCTGTTAATAATTCTTATGCCAAAGGTAATCCACTTATTAATACTAAACCTCTCTTTCTAGCTTGGTTACATAAAAGATATAGAGAAGTTATAGTAGGAATTAACTGAAGTGTTATATTTGCTCTTGTTAATGAAAAATTCTTTGAAACAGATACTTAGATAGTTATAAAAAATGAATCAAACCACTAGTACAAGTAATACAAGATGCTGATGCCATATCTTATCTATTTAATCATTTGCCTTTTGATTAAAAATGAAAGTTAGAATTGCTAACCCTACTACAGTCAATGCATTTTTTACTGAGTTGCATAATAAATAGCATGAAAGTGCAGATAAAAGAATACAAACTTCTGCATCAGTTCCAATTAGTTTTACTACTTAATCACAAAAAGATGACTTTAAAATTTGGCTAGCAAGAGATTTGGCTTATACAAGAATAGGAATAGATGACATTACATTAGAAAATTTTATTTATGAAAAACTTAAAAAAAGGCAAGGAGCAAACAAAACAGCATATGTTAGAAAGAGTCCTTTACATCTAAAAGTATCTATACTATAAAGAAAGTAGTTAGAAAGGTAATACCAAGTAAAATATTAAGCAAACTTATCTGATATTGCTCTGTCTGTAAAAAGGCTGATCATATAAAGGTTAATTATCCTAAAGGCAAGTGGATTAAAAAAGTTAATTATGTATACCAAGATGAGATAGAAGATCTTAAAGACTCTGAAAAATATATAGTGAAAGAGGAAGAGGATCTCGAAGAAGAAGAAATCAAAGATGATAATGAATATGATGATGATGATATTGATGACAAATTCTAAAACTGCTATGTTGTAAAAAAAAAGTGAAGCGAAGTGGAATACCAATGAAAAAAGCATTAAGCTAAAAGAAGGAGTATTCAAGAAGTCCCCTACTTTCAAGTCTTATGCTAGCAAAACATCAGGCAATATAATTAGGATTATAGATCAAGTTTATCAAATAGTTTTAAAATCTATAATATTATTAATAGTCCCGTATTGTCCTAAAAAGATTCTTGTAGAAATTTTGAAATTTATTAATATAATATATCCCAAATTAAAAGATCTATGCCTAAATAGTGTTATGGAAAATGATACTATTAAAAAAAGAGAGCTAGCATGGAAGAATATTACAAACAAAGTTTAAGATATCTTATTTCTGCTAATGCAGGCTACAAATATCAAATAGAAACTTCTTTTATAAGTATCAGACAATAAAAAATCTATTCAGAGCATTTTCAACTGAAATGAAGATATAGTTATAAGATTTCAGAGGAATCTGGCAGATTCTACTAAAATAAAGAAAATTAATACTACATCTTTTAGTTATGTTTTGTCAGAGAATATTCAGCTAGAACATACTATTAAGGTATATGCATAATGCCATTCAGTTGAAAAAAAAAATAGCAAATATATTGACCTAAACCTTTAGAGATAAATTTTTTACAAATAAAGAATGCTGACGATGTTGTGACTATTTCCTGTAAGGTGAAGGTATGACGATACCCTATACAATGATAGATAGTGGATCAGACTCCTCAATTATTTTAGAAAATATTGCAAAGTATTTGGGTCTAAAAATAGATAAGAAAAAGATTCACAGACTTAATAATATCGCAAGTAAGTCCTATTTCCTTGGTACAGTTGATATTGTTCTTGTAACTATTGAGAATAGGAAAAATAGAGACACCATTTCAAATAAATTTTCTGTCATCCTTACAAAATATGATAATAATTTTCTGTCATCCCTACAAAATATGATAATAGTAGAAAAGAATTATTCTTATTTATTCTTGAGACGCAATAGCAGTATCGAACTGGTTAGAAGCCTTTAGTGAAAGAGGAATTTAAGGCAAGCTAAAATGGAAAGACTATCACCATCTCCCTATAAGTTTACAAATCCTAGCGTAATATTTTTACTATAGGGAAGGAGAAACCTGTAAAAAAAAATAGTTGATCAGACATGTATGTATTGTGATAAAGAATTCTGTTATTCTTTAATTCTTAAAAGACATTTAAAGTTAAAAAATATATGTAGTAAACAAATAGCAAGTAATTGGATTAGCCCAACAAGTGATCAGATTAGTCTAACAAGTGATTAGGACAACCTAACAACTAATTAGATTAGTAAAAAAAATATGATACCTATTCGGCTAATATTAGCTTAGAAGCTATACTTTTTTGCATTTATGATATTTTAATCTACAAGGATATTTAAAATCATGCTTACAAATTTTACAATAGCAGTCAAATATATTGTTTGATCCTTCATCTGTTGTAAAATATTCTTCATTATCAGATAATTCATCATTTTGATCACTTGATTCAGTTTTATTTTTACTAGACTTAGATGGGCTAAGTCTTATAATCTCATTTTTAAAATCGATAACTTGCTATTTTAATGAAATTATTTCATCTTGCGTTTCTGTAATTTTCTGCATATATATATTTTTATATTGCAAATCTACAACTTGATGTCGTAATCTATGATTTTCTGATTCTATAATAGAAAAGGTTTATATAATATAGGTAATAGTTCAAATATTTTTTTTGAATGAATATGAAAAAAAAAGAAGTCAAACTGAAATGAATTTGAATGATCAGACAGGTTTTTGAAAAGTGTATTTTTTTTGGATATTTAGATCATTTTTTACATCTTCCCATTTTTTAGCTTAATATTAGCATCATGAAAAGAAATAAATGTATTTAGCTCAATTATCCCATCCCTTCCAGTACTAGAATTGGAGAATATTACTCAATCATTGAGAGCTATAATTTTTAGATCTTTAGTAAAGATAATATCCTTTAAATCTTTACATACAGATTCAGCGGTCTTTTTTATATCCCATTTTTCATTCTTAAGCTAGAAAATAGTAGAGGATAACTTACCGATCTTCTTATCTTTTACAGCATTAGCTTTATCTAAAGCAGAGATATAAGATTCTCTAGCTTAGCTAAGTGTGAATTATACTAGGATTCTAATTGATGTTTAAATAAATATGTCTTTTATTTCATATCTACTATGCAATTATTATATTTATTCTTTAGATGAGACTTAAGAGCATCATATTCATCTTTTAGATGTTTGTATTCCTCAGCAACCTGAGCTTCAATAGTTTTTTTAATATTATTTTTCTTTTATTTTAGAAAAGCCTCACGCTCATCCAACCGCTTCTCAAATCCATCTAGTTAGAACAATGTACTAGAATTATCAGAGGTGATATTTACTTCAATCTTAATTTTCTGATGATTTTTTTTGTTATAGTATCTATTAACCTCTCTAGTAAGAAACTTCTTAATATCTGGATGAATACCTCTAATCTGCTTCTCAGATAATGGTTTATTTTTGCAGGTTATAAGACATAATCATGCATCTATTTTCATGAATGAGGGTAATTGGTCAAGCAAACTCTTATAGTATTCATTGAAATGTAATTGGCTAGACATATGTTTGATTATACTTTAACACCTTTGGAAAATTAAGTGTTATAATCTTAGAAGACTGATTTATCAGTCAGAAAATTTCTGGAAAAAAATATTTCAAGAATTTTAAGAATTCCATATTATCCTAGAAGTTTGGGCATTTCTAAAGATGGTCACCACAATTAAAAAAAATGGCGCAATTGAGTTGCAACTTATGGCGCAATTAAATTTCCTTATAGCGCAATTAAGTTGCAACTCAATTGAAATTTGAAAATAATTATGGGGACCATCTTTAGGTATTTCATTTGTTTTGGCAAAACTTTCTGCCTAGAATTGGCTAAAAAAAATTGTCAAGACCTAGATTTTAGGAAAAAATACCAAGAAAATGCCAAAAAATTTATGCTACTCCAGTTCTATGTCAGTTCCATAACATTATCCTAGCATTATCATAACGTTAAGTGGTTTTTAGATCATGGGATGATCAGCTAATTTTATTCTGATATTTCATAACAGCAAGGGTTTTTCTATTCCTGCATAATTTTTTGATTTAGTACAATATATACAGGATCACTTGATACTAAGCCTTGAGGGAGCAGTATCATATGATATATATAATAATATATGCGTAGTTACTGCAGAGAATTATTCTACTGTGCATATCTCATCAACAAAAGAAAGGCTAAATTTCGCTAACTTGTTATTCCTGATTTGCTTATCTGCCAAATGATGAATATCTTGATCTAATAATAAAAGAATATTGAGTAATTCTTCTAGCAAGTTCCAGTTATTTAATTTCATAATTATGAGAGAGACATGATCAGAAAGTATAAAAACCTTCTTTTTTACCTTCCTTCTGTAAATTACATCTCAAAAAAAATATTAACGCTAATAGAACCTAAAAAGATCTAACATATCAACAAATTCTCAAGGAGAACTTGAAACCTGTTCTTTGTGTGATGAAACTAATCTATTATTCGAAGCTAATGGAATTAACTTGAAAGCTGTCATGAGATTGTCTTGTCTTCATATATTTTATCTTAAATGTATCTTCACCTCCTTAAAAATAAACCTGTCTGTCCTTGTTGTCATCAGCCTATTTATCTTAGTGATGATAATATATAGATGCTTTCTCCAGAAGAATATAGAATTAAAAAACTTTTTAAAAAACTAATCAATAGACCACAAAACTTTAATCTGATAATAATGAACACAAGTGTAAAAATAGTGAATCCTATAACTCCAAAAATGGTGTTTGTCGAATTACATAACAAACTTAATGCTGAGAAAATTCTTGAGAAAAAAACATATAAACTATCTCTAATGGAATATGAAATCCTTGATTCTTACTATTCTCTTGAGAAAGTATTGAAGAAAAAATTAGCTGAATTTAGTTCTATTTATCCTCTTTAAATTGCAAGAATATTGCTTAATGCAGAAATTAAAAAGCAATTTCCTTCTAATACTACTTGTAATGTCTTTAACAAGAAAAAATGCTTAGCAATAAATATTTACAAAATTTTCAGTACAAAAGGTTTAGAGAGGAATGATATCAAACGAATTAAAAGATTTCAATTATTATTTTTTGAAAGATTTACTGATAAACAAATAAAGATCATTCAAAAAAGGATTAGAATAAACTTTTCTCGACTAAATTGACTTGAAAATCAATTTGATAATTTAGATCTAAATGAGGAGGAGATATCAATTCTGACTGATTGAATAACATTATTGGCTAGCACTACATGCATATTTACATATATATATATAGATTTAAAAAAAATGATCCCACTTCTAATTTATTTTTTGATGTAATAGAAAGCATTAACTAAAATATATTTGCATAGATTCTATTATATATGTAATAGAAAGCATTAGCTGAATATATTTTACATAAATTCTAATAAATGATCTAATTTACATAAATTTCACATAACATTAAGCCTTGAGAGAGTAGTATCATATGACACTTATAACAGTAAATATGTAGAGAATCACTTGACACTGAGCCCAAAAGGAGTAATATCCTAGTGAGAACAAGAGTAAAAAAAATACTTAGCTAGGATATATGAGGCTTCATCAATAGAAACACGGTATCTGGCAAAAAAGCTATTTTGAGATAATTGAAATCAGAGTTTGTGATTTATTATTAGAAATATATGCGTCTCAAAATTGAATCTCTGCTGATCTTTGCTATAACAATCATTTTTATAATTATTCGTCATTAGAATTTTTTGCATATTTATTTTTTGAAATATTTATCTACAATTGTTTATAAGTAATTTATATATTATTTCCTATATTATTTTCTTACATATTATTTTTTTACAAATAATTTACATACTTTTTTTAAGAGATTGTTTTACAAATATAACTAATTAATAAATTTTTTGATAAAAGTAAAGCACTATTATCTCTATTATAAAACATGACTTATTATATAATGAATAGCGTGAGAAACGATATTATTAATTTTTTTTGTGCTTTTTGGTGATTTTGGAATTACTGGTTCAGGATAAAGGCAATCTCATTTTTCTCTAACTTGAATGTGCTTTCGTACTTTATCAAATAGATACAATTATCAAGCTACACTTAAACCAGAAAGTAAAGTAGTTGCTAGACTTGGTTTAGTACCATTTTTCAGATTTTTTCTCTAAATTTCAATCAAATTTGTTTCTTTATTAATAGAACTGCTTATCTCTACTTTTCCTTTATGTTTATTATCAAAATAAAGTGGTGCTGTTTTAAAATATTTGAAACAATTTTGAAATATTCTTTTAACTATTCACTCTAATTATAGAAATATAATACCTGCTCTCTATTTTTGTCAAAGACTGTTTGCACTATATTATATCTATTTGTTGTTGAATTTTCTACTACTTTAATTAAGTCATCTAAATTATCAATTTCTGATTTAGCGAATACCAATTTAAATAATCCAAAAAAAGAATCTAGGCTAAATTTTGTGTGCTTAACAATCATAAATGAATATATAATTCTATCATGATAATCCATTATTACACGCCATGTTAAATAAGCTATCATTAAATTGTTTTTATTTTTTTCAGAATAATTATCAGCATAAATAATTAAATGATTTTCTCCCAGTCTATGTAAAAGAAAATAATTGTGTACTAGTGAAATAATCACATCTGCTTCTTTTTCAGACATTTCACTTTCTTTAATAAGATAATTCACCTAAAAATAATCAATAGTTAAAAGATTTTTGAATTGGAATTAATAAATAACTTACTTAATGAGAAAATGCATCATCGTATATCCCAAAATATGAACTTTGTAAAGAGACTTAAAAAATGTATCTTTCTAATAAAATGTTGATTTTATAATTAGTTTTTTTAATAAAATCCAAAAAAAAAATTTAAAATAATTTACTTTTTGTTGTGATGAAAAAAGTAATTGAACTTGTTGAACAAAGTCCCAAGATAGATGTACTTTAACATCTAAAGAATTAATTTTTCTTAGGCAAATTATATTTTCTTCACCAAATCTTTTAATATTAAACTTAGTTCTTTCTATATATTTTCTAAATTTATTGGTTAAAAGCATTAATTAAAAATTAATAACATATTTTAAGATGTATAATAAACTTACTTGTAATATTCACATTCATCATATGTAACTTTAATATGTGTATTCCATTTAGTTACTTTTGATCTCGCTTTTCTACAGTTCAATTACCAGCATTAAATCATATAGTTTTATATAAATAATATAGGTTACTTTGTGGAGTTAAAAACTTTATTTTGGGTAAATAGTTTTTTCAAACTCGACAAAAAGTACTTAAACTGATAATTAATTTTTCAATGCTTTCACATTGTTGAATTGCCATTAAATACTTCTGATGCAAAGATGAATAGCTTTCAATAGCAGGTAAAAAAATAACTTTCATTGTTTACGTCTAAAATATTATCCTAAGGTAAAAATCAAATATGTAAAAATGTAAATAAAAATATAATATAATGTTAAAATATATATAGTCTGCGACATAAATATCTAGAATTTTATCAGTAGCATAAAAAGTTCCTATATCACCAATTTATGTCCGACCAAAATAAAAATCAAAATAGCAATTTTTTAGCTATTTATAGATATAAAATAATGCCACAAAAATTTTATGTGATTATTTATCACAAAAAACTTAATCCATAGTACTCATTTCAGTTTTTGAAACAAGACATTTGATTGTAAAGGAATTATGGGTTGAAAACCCTCTGAAATAATTAAAATAACTAGTTATCCAAGCTCTACTGTATATAATATTGTCAACCTGTTAAAAAAAACTGGAGATGTTAAGCACTTACCTTGTCCTGGTCATCCTCTTGTTTTTACTTTCAACAAACATTGGTATTTTGGTCGCTCGTCCAAGTTAATAATGCAATATCTTTATTTTTAATGACAATGAAACTGAATAATATTTATTTAGACCTTAATATATCAACTCAGACTGTCCAATACACTCTTAAAAATAAACTTAATTATGTAGTTTATAGGTCACAAGCTGTTCCTTTCCTTTAACAAAATCATATTGAAGCACGTCTCTAGTGGGCTTTAAAGCATAACCAAGATGATTGGTCTCATACAATTTTTTCAGATGAAAGCACTTTTCAAACATTTAATAATACTTTATTAGTACGTTATAAAGCTAGTAGTATACGTCTATCATATTCTATGGTAAAACATCCATACAAAGTGCATGTTTGGGATGCATTTTCATGTCAAGGACTGATTGGGATTGAATTATTTAAATATGAATTCCAACAAATATTGTGAAATTTTTCAATCTCAACTTGTTCTTAATGTTCACGGTGCTAGCTATAAGTGGTACTTCCAACAAGATAACGTACCAACCTATATAGCAGGACGTACTCAACAATTTTTTGTGGTAAATAATATTTCAGTGATCTATTGGCCTGCAAACTCCTCCGATTTGAATCCAATTGAGAATTTATGGGCCATTCTTAAACGAAAAGTAAAGAAAAGGGTTAATAATTAGATTGAGAAAAAAAAATGCTTAGTGCAGTTACTTTTCAGAGTATAATTCAGCAGGAATGGGACAGTATTGATCAAAATGTTTTCTTTAATTTAGCGGATAGTATGTCAGGTCAGATTAATAAAGTTATAGAAAAAAAAGGGCTTTCAATTAATTATTAATTTTTTTTATTTTGTTAATCTGTATATTATCATCTACAAATAGCATAAATATGAAATGAATAAAATAAGATTTATAATATTTTTATTTGTCATGATAAATTCTAGATATTTATGTCACAAACTGTACCTGATGATAGAAGACCCTATCTGTTAGCATAACTTAATATAAAATTAACAATTTTTATAATTATTAAAAATAGGATTGTTCTATTGTTAGGCTTTCCAATAGCTTTATGAACCCTAGTTTTGATATCTTTAACAGAGAAATGGGTTTGTATATTTTCCCATTTTGTAGTTCTGATCCTATAAACAAATTTAAAAGCTTTTAAATAGATTTCTTTTACATCAAAAAATAATCACAAACTGCCTTAACCCTTTTATTACCTTTTACTATTATATGTTATGATCCTGAACTACCAATAAGATAACTCATTAAAAAAGAATCTTGATTACTTTTTAATAAACTTTTAAAATTTGAATTTCTCAAAAAAGCTCTTTCAGTATTAATTTTATTTTTTAGACAATTATTTTGACAACACGATATTTTAATTATATTTTTTTGAAACATTCTTCATTATTTTATTTGATTTCTTCGTCTAAGAGTTGCATTTCAATATCACCTAAGTTATCACCTTCAATAATTTCAGTTTTTTTAAAAAGTTGTTGATATTTTTGTAATTGAATTTCTGTAATAACTAAAAATTCACTATTCTCCGCTTTTACTTTGTCTAAAATTTCATCATTATTTTCTAAATTTAATTCAGAAATGTTGCTGTCAATAGTTACGAAATGTATTTGAAAATAAGAAAAATCTTGTTGTAATATTTGAAGCTCTTTATGAGTTTCAAAAAAAAATGCTATTTAATAATGGATAAGTCATTTTCAGTTTAAATAATATAAAGATATCATAAAATCATTGAATTTTAGAAGTTTATATATTAATTGTTTGTGTTCAAATAGGTTCAAATTGATGCTTAATTTTACAATTTTATGATATTTATTTAGATAACTTTTTTATGCACAAAAAATTTTTTTTATTATTTATATTAATTATTGTAAATTTATAGGAAGTTCAAAGATCGTTAACTCAATTTATGAGAATTCTTGAAATTCTATTTTTAAATCTTACTGATCATGTAAAATCACAAAAAATAGACATAGAAAAAAATTATACTATATAAAATAATAATTTTAAAGACTAAAATATGTTCTAGAATGTCTGTTTTATATAGTACTATATTTAACTCATTTTGGTAAAAATTGCCAGATACTATATTTCTATTGACGAAGCTCCATATGTGAAAAAATTTTTCTATTGCACAGAGATTAACCATTATATTATTGTGCTTATCATTAATTCATTGCTTCAGACTAATAATCACTTCTTTGATTTGTCTAAAAATTAGAATCCAGAATATCAAACAACAACGGTTTGTTTATATCACTTTTAATTAATTTTATAGTTTCCTCAATTTTTCTTGAATGTTTTGCAAAGCGTCTTTGTATCACTAGGTATGACACTATTTGATTAATTTTATTACTCTGCTTACTCTGTTTGCTTTTCATTCTTACCTTATATCTTCAATATTGTGAAAGTAACCTAATTAGCTTTTTTCTCATAAATTCAAAAAAATAAAACCTAGTTTTCTCTTACAGCTCTTTAATCAAAAAAGAGATATTCATATAATTCAGTATAATTAAACACGCATACTATCCTATCTTGCCTTATATTTTTAATAGTAATAAAGCCAATTACCCAATTATATGTGTGATCATACTTGGCTGGATTGCATAATGGCAAATTTTAGCAGTCTAAAATTGTATGTTTTCTCTGAGATCACTTGGTATTTTTTGGTTTATAGCATTTGACTTTTATTTCTTTAAATGAATTGCATTCAGATGCAACTATCTCCACCACTTTAGACTCAGATGAACTAGACTCAGATGATTCAGTCATAATATTATATAGATAACAGATTTCTTAGCCAATTCTTTTAAGATTTTGATATATTTTAGTTACATCATATTTTAATGCTATAATGTTCTCTTTGATCTCTTTAATAGCATCTACCTTTTCTTTTTCTGAATAATATGTACAATACTTTTTAAAAGGCATTTTTATAATCTGGAAAAAAATAAACTGAATATTTATCGTATCTATATTTATTATACCTAAACAAAATCTAAAATATTATATTTACGCTATATAGAAGTTTTCACTAATCTAGCTTATTATTGAAAGCTGGCTATGTAAGATGTATTTTCATTTTAATATTTCTCTAGAAGTTTGACTCTTACAGCTCTTTTTTTGGCCTCTTCATAGGGGATATCATTTTTGATCATATTCTTATAAATCATAATGCATCAATGCTTATATGATAAAGTAATTATCCCATCTGATAAAATCTAACGCTTAGTATCTATAGGGCATAAGGCTTTCTTCTCAGGTTTGTCTAGAGATAATACATGATCTTTTGATCAGATACCCACATTTTTGGCATAGAACATTTCTTTACCAAAAAGACAGTCTAGATAGACTAGAGTTATAGGGTCTACCTTAGTTCGTATAGTTTCTTATTCTAATAATGAGAACTTATCTATTAGATTATCTAACAAAGATCTCTCTAAACTTGACATATATGTATCTATAACCATTTCTCCCATACCCTTTTTACTAATCCCCTTATGCTTAGACTTTGTGAACTTATCTGCTAAGACATAATAATATAATTTAGAGTGAATATGTATAGATTTTGTGATTATATTACTAGGGGTCTCATCTTTATAAAGCCCAATAGTCTTGGTATCATTTCATTAAGATTGAAGAGATTTGAACATTTAGCCATATCTTTATAAATATTTTTAGTCTCAACTTAGAATATAAAAGAATCTATATCCATATAGCCAAGTTGGCCTTATCACCATATCTCTCCTTTACATATCTATATCAGAAGCAATACATATGAAGTTTGTTAAGACCTAAGACTGATACCTCAACTATGATAAGCTTGTTAATTATTACACTAGCCTTTCCCATATGTGCTTCTACTAGCGTATTTCTAAGCTGTCTAGCATACTTAAATAAGGGCTTGCAAATCTTATTCAAGAATGCCTTTTCATCCTATTCATTATTACATTTTATGAGCTTGACATCCTAATACTTGCGAACATTTTTTATAGTCTTGCTATATATTAAGTTATTCATAAGTTTGAAGAAGTCTTTTTCAAAAGCATTCTTAGCTTCTTAGCATTTCTTAGTATTAAAGGCAATATATGAAGTAAGCCAGTTATTCTAGTTAAAGGAAAGAATCTCTGTAATCACATCTATAACTATGCTTAATTTTATATAATATTGAAGCTTTTGGTAATGAATGACATAATCCTTTCTCAGGCCAAGATAAGGAACTAACTTTTCTGTAGTAGAAAAGCATTGTTAACATTACTCTTTCGTCGAATAAGTTAACTATGATTTGAAGTCAGGGAGACAGTAGCTATGACTTAAATCCAATCAACTTGACACGC